CTAGTCTAACCGAAGAAAAAGTAGAACGCCAATGATCTTGACAAAATAACGTATTACTGGCCGCCAACAAACACTGTACAACTACTGTGGACCTTGGCTGTTGGTGTCTTACTGACCTTCGACTTCTAGTATTGGAAAGTCAGCCACCAGTTAGTGCTTCCCCATACCTTTTGCCGAGGTGTCAGGTGGTTTTTAGTCACATGCAGAACCGGAACACTCCGGAACGTTTGCAATCGATGCGATAATCGTTAATAATCGATTACTCGCTAAAATAGTGGATTTCCTAGGCAATTCTTACTTTCTCCCGGACAGACTGTCAACATAGTCCGCTGAAATTCAACTCCCTCTTAATGCCAGTAAGTCGGAGTTCATCAGTATCACCATACGTCCAGCCACTCGATCATACACCTTGGTCGACCAGTTGCTCTACCGCAACACATCTGTCAGAGACTTAGGGGTACTCTCGTGACATGATATGAGATCCCTCGAGCATACAGAGAAATTGTACCGTTTGGGACTTCGTATGCTCTGGGCATTACGATGCAAATTCTCCAGATGATCCGAAGAAACCGTCCCTCGCCTCTTCACCTCGCTCATTAGATCAATTCTTGAATGCGGTGCCCCAGCTTACCAACCGATAACCCGGTGGGAACTGAAAAGCTGTAGAAAATACAGCAAATCGCAACTAGATTGATACCGAGTCTACGAAACCTTCCGTATGAAAAACGTTGTGCAAGGCTCGGGCTCTTCACATTATCCTACCGCCGAGTAAGAATTGACCATCGAGTACTACACTTGAATCACTTCCCCGTACTGCGGCCAATATTTCACCTGCGGGAACCCTGTAGTACCCGAGGACATCTTTACAAACTCAGAGTCCTCTGCATGAACAAGGTATCACATCAGCTTTGTATAGAACGAAGAATCGTAAACCTTTGGAATGAACTACTAGAAGGCTTAATATAGACTGATTCTGTGAAATATTTTACACCCCTTTCGACGATTATTTCGGAAACCTGTGCTTTTATGAAACGGTGCACATACAATGCCAAAAGAAGACATCGTATACCCGGAAATAATGACACTAATACGAATTCTTTACCGAGCAAGGATAAACGAATAACTGACAAAACTCTGCGGTTGACGATTCACAATTAAATGTTTTTGCTTTTTCATAATTCGATAGAGTTTTACAGAAACCTTTCTACTTGCTTATAAATGCAGTATCTGTATCAATCAGCAAACTGGTCGACCGCTTGATTTTATAACCCCTTGAAAGCAAGTGGCTCTCCGTGAAACGATGTCATGATCCCTCATAGTTCACCCTTTACAGTCGTTTGTGAAGTGTCTTGTATCACCTCATTTGTGCGCTAGCCGCATTGCGTTGTACCATCATGCCGATGTTGGCCCCGTCTGCCTTTCCTCTACTAGTTTTACACATTCGCTCTACTTTTAATTACTGCCCTATCATTATTGTACCACCCCTGTTGCTCTGTGGTCTGGAGACACTGTAGTTTTGAGCCATACGAGTTGCCCAATGTGCCTCGATGTTTTGTCCTTATCGTTCCACTGTCTTGAGACCTACATCAAGCGGGTCAAACCCGAGGCATTTGCTTAACAGGGAAGCTTTTAAAAGAAGTCGGCTTTTTCCGTCAACCCTTCATATTTGCACCTTGTCCCATACATGACCGATCCATGGGAAATAAAGACCTTAATCGACAAATTTTACAACGTCTGCAAGCGGAATTGGATGTAGCCGGTTATCTTCGGGACACTAACATGCATTTATTGGGGCTGTTCGTTCATTTCTAAGACTAATGTTATGCTTTGAACCTTTTGTCGCTTCGGAGGAAATCTCACTGTTAACAGGCCCAAGTTGAACAAGTGTTGTTTGTGCTGCGGATTACGAGGAGAGTAACTCTTACCAGATCTGTGAGCCCTGTTGACCTTACTAGCCAACGTACTTCCGACTGTTGGCCGGTTGGCCTCCATGCGATGCATTTCGTCCGTACTTGAGTCATTTATGTGTGCTTCAGAACGTTGCCAACGGCTCTTAGACGACGGCGTTGATGCTCTTTATTTACTAGTCTGGCCGACATAACTAACTAACTACCGTGATCAATGGCTTATTCATCATATAGACGCGTGACGCCAACTCAGAGGAGTCGCCGGACAACTTCATGACCACCACGCGAACGGAATCCTTCCGCGTACTCCATTGTACACCACCCGTGCGTAAACAGGTACGGTCTTCTATTGGAAACAGAGTAGTATATCGCCAGCTAAGGCAGAAGACCTTTTCATACCATCTTGGAACAAGTACAGGGACGTTCATTACGCGACTGGGGTAGTTTTACAACATTTTACATTAATGAATATTAAACCAAAGCAATGGGTAGTGTTGACCTGGATCAACCATTGTGTGCCTGTACTAGATATTCGCAGCAAAGCAGTATGCCATACACTCTGTCAGCTATTGGTCGAGTTTTTCAGGTATCTGTTTGTTATCCACATGTTGCCAGTTCAAGCCTGTGTAGGTGCACGCGGCCTCGAAGTATCCTTGGACCCCACGCGGCTACTAGTAACCATTTGACAACGAAGTTGCAGTACGGTGTACCGGCGTACGCATTTGCCAGCGAGTCCGGGACGATCTCGATTTCGGAGCCCTGTGTAACGGCTAGACTCCATTCACACTCTCGGTACCTGCGTTTTCACAGCAACTTAGCAGGTCGGATTCTGCTCGTGACTGGTACCCTGTAGCTTATCGATGCCGATGCACGACACAATAGAATGATGCGCCCAATTTGCAATCTCGTTCACGCGAGCTCGAATTTGAGGGCGGTCAGAATCACCAGATTTACTCTTCAACAAAGACGAAATATCAGAAATATTTGCCACCAGTATTCAAAGCTCTCACAAACTATTTCATCAAGTCAAGTTTCAAATGCAGTGGAACAAAATAAAATTTATACTGACAATTGAATCATCCACAATGCTCGACATGCCAGCTTCCAGAGTTCCACATCTTGGTCACTCCTTCATGAACTCGACTGTTCTACCTGCAGATTATCTCTGCAAGTGTGAATTTTTTGTAGCCTGTCTATTGGTCCAGGTGGTAGTTCATCATTTTCAGAACAATACATGTTATTCAGTTGTGTTCATGACATTTGGTGATGCCAATATTTATTAGGTTATTGTGTTCTTCTCTCAAGTGCGCTGAGTATCGCAGTGGAACGGCGCCATATCGCCATTATGCAGTTAAACACACTCTCCGGTGGATCATACGAGGCAGTCCCCAATTGAACTAACAGACCTAGAATATCCTAGTAGAAAAGGAACTGCTTTTCTTCCATAAAAAGCCGGGAAATTCTCATCGTGTGCACTTAAGCCGATCGCTTTCACATATCCTGGAGCCTTATAACTCAGCTGCTGTCCTAGACAGCCCTAAATCGCGCACTAAGTCATTCAGTTCTTGTTGATTGAAATGTCGGAGTGCTGACGAAGTTCACTATCAGTTTCACGGACTACGTGAGCCGATTTACGTACACGGGTCCCGTCTTCATGTTCAATGATTACATCATCTGATAAAGCAAAATCTTTGAATTCTGGGACTGGAAGCTCTTTAGGGTGTGGAATGGGTCGCTTTTCAGAGGAAATCCTGAGGTAATCCATATTGTGCCGAATTTTCTTGACAATACCTTAGGATTAACAATGCAAAATTAGCAGCCCGTTATGTGATTCACCGGTTCATGCCGAGCAATGGGAACTCCAAACGCATACCCTTGCGTTTGTCTTCTGTCCAGTGATGAAGCATTTCCTCACAACATTGGCTCACAATGTGAGGTGCCCATTTTTTGTCTTGGCCATCAGGAAGTGTGCTTTATGGATGCATTTCACGGACGAAGTGATATTTCACCGTTGACGAACTGGTGTACAATAGCCGCATATATAGAAGACGCATCAGGTTCATTTGCACCCTGATGTCTGCTGGAGTGCGCCATGGTCATGTCTGAAACGAAAATGGAATGGTATATAATTTTCTGTTCATGTGGCATATCAAAATGCATGAAAACTAGAGAATGCAGACAAAATGACTTTCAAATTTGAAACCAGCATTAAAAGTTCGTTGAAAAGCAGTTTAAAATTCTCTTAGAGTAGAAAGTCGAACACTTCTGTTTTGTGTCGATTTAATACAGGCTTTATGTGCTTGGCTGTGCGCACTTTTAGCATTTTACACTACCGACAACAATTTAGTCGAAACATATGAAAAAATTTCATGAATAGAATAATGAAATGAGAAGGTGTTGCACATATTTCACTCGCGTAAACCGTCCCACACCTTTGAGCAACGATCGCATATTGATAGAGGTAATGGTAAAAAGATTTATTTATTCGACGAAGCCAACTTTTGTTAAAACCTTTCTTGACAACTGGTTTCGTTTTGACGAAAGTAACAAACTGCAAGTTGTACGCGGCAGTGTCAAACGGTTTAGATATCCAGAATGCAGAACGTACCTTCCATCCAACCGAGTTTGTCTTATGATCGTCCCTGCGGAACGTCTTGAGTAGCTTAACACTTACAATGACGTGACTATACACTTGAATCTGGGAAGCAGTCTTCCTCGATCACTTCCACTTTCCTAAACGCAGGCCTTCGAGGGCGATGGGGAATGATGCAAGTAGCACATACTTTTTTCTGTTTTCAACCCATTCTCCTATTTTATATCTCCACTGTGTCAACTTGATATCTGTCTATCCTCATAGGCTGTGTATGTAACGGATCCCTGCTTCATCTGTCTCGACTCTCAGTGCAGTATAACAAACACCAGCTCCCGCGTATTTGTTACGAGCGTTTACCTTCTGCACCTCGTCGTAAACAGCAGTTGATTATCTTCGCGCATATGTGGTACGCTGATTGTCCGCTAGACCCTAGCAGGGGTATTTTCGTGTACACCATCTTTTAAGCTTTGATCACTCCGTCATTTGTGATCTTTTTCCAGGTGCTCACCCAATGAGCAACAGCACTTCGATCTCGTGGACTTCCGATTCGCATTTGGCTAGCACCGCATTGGACGGGAGCATCCGCTGCTGGAAAGTCTCCGACTCATAATCTCCGACCGCCTCCCTTCATCCCTTGTTTGTTTCACCGGTACACATTGATTTACTGCACTAAATTTGCGACAACTGCTTATTTGACCAATTGCTCTTTTGAATACTATCACTTGCTAAATTTATATACATCATTGCTGCCCCGATTTGGTGTTTACTCCTCTGGTTTTGTGTTTTATTTTCTCACTGCGCCCACACAATCCTGTGCTTTCCACTACAGCGTACACTCCTCGCTTCTAAACTGTATATCGTGAACTCATTAATGTGAGCCACTTAGAGCGCACCAGCACGTGGTGAATGTACTACAACTGGCGTTTCTATCTGATTCATTTATCTAAAATCGTTTCTTCCTATACTCCAATTCTCTATCTATTGATACTCATTTGTCTGCGAAATATTCCAGTGGTAGAGTGGTTCAGGCGCTTCACTCGTGATCTACAAGCCATAGTATTCTAACTAGCGGTTGGTTCTCCTGAATATTCCGCTGGAGTTTTGCTAACCTTTCAGAGTACTCGCTGACGGACTTCTCCAACACATCCTGCTTCTCTCCCGTTCGCTTCTCCAGCTGAGTAAAATCTCACTGCGGCCATTTTGGTTGACTCCACTCGATTAGGCGTTCGACTGACTTCATTTCCATGCCACGGTCGCAACAACATTGTTTTCTTTATGAAAGTATTGAAACAACTCAAGCATGATAGTCGTTCACATTTGGACAGTTTTGCCAATTATTACCTATATTCCTTCACGTGATTGGTTGTGCTAGGAAGGTACGGTTTCTCGAGCGCATCCCAATGGAGCCCATCAATCGTGGTCACTCAATCATCCGCCCCGAGGACCAGACCGAGCTAAGCCCAAGGTCAAAGCTAGCTGATGCCTAATGGTCAGATTGTAACACACCGGCAAGATATCGATCAACAGATGAGGGCGTTTGATTGCACGTCGAAAAAATGCTCGTCAGGCGGGAGTACTGCAATACAAATTTGACTTAGCAGCCGAATATATTCTCTGGAATTTCTTCTTACTTTTTCGTTTATTTACAGCCCGACATTATTGAATCTTTTTTCTTCTGAAAATGAAGAAGCACAGATTTTTACGCGCACGATTACATACATACACTAATTTAGGGTAACTAATGTTTTATTATTATTATTCCTTTAAGTTATTAGCCAAAATGTCTTTGTATGATAAATTATTACAAATAATGTGGTGTAATGCAAAAGTTTTATAGATACATCTGTATGCTGTACTGCAGAACAGGACGCAACTCAAATTCAAGTGAACGCCATTATGCGATCAAACGGTCCCTCAACAGACTAGTGTTATGAAATTAACGCCCGTGAGCGATAGAACGATAACCTGTAGACAGTAGATTGTACTTTAACTCACTTCTGGTTCGCGTTTCGATCCGGAATAAACTCCTTTTTGCAACGTACGCGCCCCGCTCGTTCTTCCTTATCGGAGATTATCCTACTCTTTACACTAGCGGAGTCCGACACAATAAGTTGATTGACCTATTGATCTTTGATGTACTCTGTTCGCTCCCTTATGTCGGTTTATAAGGCAGCTCGTCTTCAAGCGGCGCGTTCTTGCTTCCGTTCCGATTGAGCTGCGGTTAGCAGTACCAGGCGCCATAATACAAGATTAAAGGTGTTTGATGAATTGCAGTTCATTCTGTCAAAATTGGTTGGAAGGTATCAGGCATGGGGTCTCCGTTTGAGCGCTGTATATATGCACTGTAATGCACAGGTATAAAAAACGGGAGTAGTCCAATTCCTTGACAACCATATATGCTATCTTCCTGTGCTAGCCCGATCGTTCTCATTGCTATGGCGACGAACTTCACGTGGTTTTTATTGCTGAGCCGCCTGCTGAGCATATGCGGCTTTAACACGCACGCCAAATGCTTCTCAAGCTCAGTTACGTAGCTCCATCTCGCATCCGTCTTCATCCTGAGGCAATGTGGTAATGATGGGTCGTTGTTTATGCATGGATCACGCAGTGAGTGATGTTACAAATCCCTTGGTTATGGGTGCGCTTTTTGGATACTATGGGATCTTAAAATCCTTCTTACTCTCCATTGTTATGCTGGTTCATCGGGGAAGTAGGTTTTTTCCTTATTCTCTGCACTCTTGCATTTTTAGCGCGTGTTGCATTTCATTAGGAAATTGAGCTTACAAAAATGACGCCACTCCTTGTCCTTTCGCAGAACGACTTCAGTGATTTGGTTGTTGTCCCATTACAACTATCAGAATTCAAAAGGCGACCTGAACTTTCGTCTTACTGGTGTGATCAGATATCGTATGATTGGAGGCATCTCGGATCTCCGTTCAATTCCTCCAAGGAGTGGAACAGCGATGATCGCCCTTATCCACTTGTATATATCCAGGAAGCGCCTAATAGTCCCCGCATGGCTATTTTCTACGTGCTGAGTTGACGGACGCTTGCCGTTCGCAAACAAGCGAGTAGGGCCCACCACACACATACCGTTACGGATTGGAAATCGCCACGGATAGTCACTTGGTTCACACAATTCGCACTAGATCCAAATGCCCAAAGCAACCAGGAAATTTAATGCAGTAGAACAAACTAGCTACTGACAATCGCCCGACTGGAGGAAATACGGCTTGGGAAGTTCGAAAGTGCACCGCTTGAAAAGAAAAAAAGAACGATCGATCGCGTTGTGTCCGACAGCGAATGAATCAACAGGAAGAGTAAAGGAAACCGTAATGAATGCGGCTCCGACGAAGAAGAAATGCTCATTGCTTTACTTCTCATTAATAGATCCCAAAAATTAGTCACTTGTAGAAGTCAACTGCCACAACACATACGTACATGGCTACTCTGTAGTGAAAGTCGTGACTCATGGGGGCCAGCCATCTTCCACTGCAACGGTGGTAATCTGCATGGCGTTGGCAGATAGGTCACGCTATGTCCCGGTTAGGTTGCAAGGTATGACGGTCCGACCGCCCCTCCTCATATCTAGTTGGCGCAACTTGTTAGAGGTCGTGAGTTTTGGTTCCCTTAAGTAGACCGAGGGAGAGCGCACCACCGAGGAACCTCCATAGATCGAAACCTCTGTCTAGTGCTTTTGCAGAGTGGTGGTTAGACTATCTGTCTTGTGAGCTGCTGGGACGAGTCAGTAAATTTAGTTCACATCCTTGTTACTGCCATTTCTGTTTTTTAATTGTTCGGTTATCACTTTGCAACATCCTTAGTGCTTTTGCTGCGTCTCCACTTCTGTTTGCTTACCCTGCCTGTTCCAATGTCGCCTAGCGGTTAATATATTTCGTCAAACTTTGGTTCTACATTTCAGCAATATTTTGTTTCCCCAACTGGCTTTTGATTAGACTCGCTTGGAATATCCGCCTCTTTTGAGACCTCACAGTCTACTCTAGTACCTATGACAAAATAGGTATTCGGCCATCTACCACTGTTTTGATCGGTATGATGTGATGAGTAATGGTCCGCCTTAGATTTTGCTTTTGGTTGGAAGATAGAGCAACCTGCTCAACTGCCTAGCCTACGAATGGGCTGACAATTCTCACCCGAGGGGCTTGTTTTCATTCACGATGATGTAGGCCAACAGCAAGCCATGTTTGGTTAACGTGGCGAGGAACTTCAAAGCCACGCCCATTAAACCAGCCACTTTGTTACCTCACACGTGTCCGAGTTAGGATATCCATCCTTGTCTGAATTGCTCGTTCTTCATTATTGAGTTCCACTTTCAGTGTTTTCTACATCACTGGAGCTTACTGTGCTCGCTATGGCGTGATCCATTTCTTCCTTCATCGTTTTGCTATTTCTTGTACGCTATCTTCTTGATCTTGTACTGACCCGCGCACTTGTCTCCACGCAAAATTGTAGATTATTGCAGCTCATTTCTCAAATAGACTTTTTACTTCGGCTGCACCATGAGAGGTGACGTGTCAACTTCTGCGCACGAATCTGTACACTTCAGTTCCTCCAGTCCTGTGTCTTCAGCTCCCCATCTGATTTACCTTCGGTCGCCAGCTGAAATGTTTTTTACTGCACTCTTAAGAGTTTTACAGGGAAATGTTTGCACACACTGTGCAGTACGCACTTGATAATATGCAGAGAAAATTTCCCGGATATAAATCATACGGTGCTATTGTGCTAACGTTCTTGCTAAAGGGAAATGGTTACATGAGACTTTTTTCGCTTCGCATTTGACGCGGTGTCGTTTTTAATATGAACCTCTCGCATTTTTGCTAAGGTTCACATCGTGCGACACTTCAGATACCTCTCCGAATTATTGAGCTAAATTGGGTTGCACTTTCGGACTCCTTACGCGTCACCTCCGCTAGGAAGACCATCGATTAGATTTAGTCTATACCGTCACCTAGGTCTTATAATTTGAAGATCATAAATGTACGCCTCCAATTTTTATGAAGGTAATCCAACCTGTGCACTGTGATCAAATTTCTTTGGAATGGTTTTAGGCTCTTGAATGAGAGGCTTCGTTAGAGAACCCCAGTCACTCTTCTGCCTGAACTTGGACGCATTGGTAACAAACCACGTCACGCGCAGCCGTGACATTTGCTCTATTATCCAAACCCATCTAATCTCGATCGTCGAGGAATGTCAGATTACTCGATTTATCTACAGCTTTTACCTCAAGGTGGATACGTTTGATTTATGTTCGATAATTCTGCCTTATCTGTTTCTCTTATGCTCCTGACCAAGCCCCCGTTTGCAGCACCATTGCTATTTTGTCATCTGCTGTCTTCTGCCATCGGAACCTCTTTTCAGGCCACACCACAAGAGTATTTCTACTACATTTCTACTACATATCCTGAGATTGGTATGTATTGCGCATGCGCACACACGCCGAATACTTCGGCTGTTGACGTATGTATCATCTCTAAATCTATAATCCATGACCCACGCGATTACAGAACCAACTGCATCTAGCCTATTCTCTCGCTTTTGATTGCGTTCTTGTGAATTTGCCGACTCAGCAATTGCTAGTTGGAATGGGCTTCGTTTCCAGCCCAATAGTTGCCTTGTTGTGGATTGCTTGCGAAAATGCTAACTGATCAACTTATCGATATGACATGTCGCATAAATGCGAAGTAACTTCCCAAAAGACTACTGGGTCTCTGGGGTTGGCTGCACTAGAAGTTAGCCACGCTTTCAGTTCTGTCGCTGTTGCGAATTCATTAGCGTCATCATTTATATGGTAGTATTTTTTGTCTTTGGACTCAGCATCTTATCTCCTCTTCCCCATCCTCTGGTCCCGATTCTTTTGTAACTCGACTCATGGCAAGTGAATTTACTGTACTTCGGTACGTCAGTGATGGTTGATCAACCGAATTGTGCTTGATTTACGAACGTTCATGATTCTCGTTTAACCCCCCCCCCCCAGTTTAGCTGTGTCCAGGCTTGATTCGGGACACGAGTGAATTCTTGTTCTCATTGCCAATGGGTGTCCATCGTTTTCTCCGTACGCAATTTCATTCAAGTGCAATTGCTCGGGCACTGTTAATTGACACCCTGCGGTCAACGATAGGCCCAAGTCGCATTAGCCTGAACTTCAGAGAAAGCTCTTCTGAACACTATATGATTCTGATCTTCCCATCGGTTAATGCTTATTTCTCACGGCTCTTGTCTGGAAACGCATAAAATTACTCCCTAAGCTGTCGATCGATAATTTGTTGGACGAACTTCTCAGGATGCGCTGCAGAATATTTTCACCCTTTGTCTTAGGATATCGATTTCCCGTCGCAATTTTATGCAGTAAATCCAGGAACTAATTCGATGTTGGAACAACTCAATTCACAACAATCGCCGTCTATGGGCTTTTCTAATGGTGAGTGGCCAGTAAACAACGACTGCTTATAAGTCCACTACTCGCCCAGTGCGTGTCTTCCCTCATGATGCGGTTCGCGTCTGCGGTCTCTAGACGTTGGTATGCTGCAATGTTGTACTTCTATTCATTTATCCTTCAGCGTTTTACACATGTCTTCCTTGAGTATGGGCTTGCTCTGAGCCAGCTTTGGTTCCCACTTGCGCGCTCCTCAGTCCGATTCCAGCTAGTTTACACTAGTTATGGAGCCGCAGTACACCGCACATATGGAGCCAGACACCATCAACTCCTTTATGGTGCTTATGAGTAGGAGGATTTTAGTTGCAGTGGTCGTGCTATATCCCAGTTAGCCTGCAAATTGTGAACCCCAGTTACCGTCCCCCAGTGCTTAGTGGCTTAAGCTGCTGGCTAGTTTGAGTCAGCCTCTAGCAGTCAGTAGGGGACCGATGGATATGCTTCATTGACGAGCCCCAATGGGGCGAAATGCGTCTGATGCGTTTTCGGATTGGCGGATGTGCTACGTAGCTTGTGAGCTGCTAGGACGAATACTCCCTATAGTGTTGGTTACTTAATCGTGACTTCGTACACAAAGTACCACCACACCCAAATCACCGAATAAGGAATCATCTGCTTGCTACCACAGAGGCAGCATGCATAAGACTGATAAATCCAAACTTATGCATCCAAAAGAAGATGGTTCCGTCACTAAAATTGCCCTGGTCGACTACAAATGAAAAGGGATGATCACGTCCCAACACTCATATGACATCCGTGATCACCTGGCTAATATCGGGCATGCACTTAGGACCGTTTAATCAATTGATCTTTTGTTCAATAATCTAGCCTATTCCAAATTGCAGTCTGTTTGTAACGTCCACCGTGAACGTTGAATAACGCGTAGCCAAAGATCCCGAAATCAAAACAAGTCGGATCACAAATACAACGGTACTATTAAAATATATACAGTTGGTAATTGGGACATACTTCAATTGTTCAGTATCCCGGTGTATGCAAGTTGACAACAAGGTGTCAGTAAACAATAGGAGAGACGAGTTGTCTACGCCGGACAATCAAAGGGAAAAAGTCACCACACCTGAGTGCTACGAGTATTGAGATGATGGCGTTGACCAATCGAGGGACGGTCCAATCACAGGGTGAGAGTTTAATGGCACGCATAAACATGGTGTTTGGACAAGCGACCAGTGACGGGGGAGGAGGTGCGACACATGCTCCGGGCTGAACGTGCCCTGTTCGGCGAAGAGTAGGGTTGGAGATCCAAGGTCGTCGGTAGACGCGCACGCACGGAACCAGTGCCGGTGATTAGCATGCACACACAGACACACCTACAACGCTAACAATGGGAATGTAAGGAGGCGCACGTGAACGCTGGTCGATATCCATCAACGATAGGCCCAGGTCTGTGGACTAGACCACGAAGCGAAGAGTAGAAGAATTTCATGGGTAGATAAGCGCGTTACACTGTTATTGTAATGACCTGATGAAGTACTAATCGAAAACAATCGTATGTCGATTGCTTACCTCTTTGGGATTCACAGAAATGGTCATCTAACATATATTGTATAGTGAAAGCAAGCTCACAAATGTTGACTTACCATCTTCATCACTTGCCAATTTATTATATTTATGTAAAGCGTGGGCAACCCAATCCCCTATGGCTGCTCAATGCATTTTATTCATGTCAGGTTCATGTTTACTCCTCTTTTTACCCTTACCCCCATGATCGTCCGTCCTAGTTTCCGGACATATTGCAGCAAAGCGCCAATACGCAGTACTGATGTGCTTCTTGATGCTGGGACTGGCTGAAGAGGTTGCAGGCACTCGAGCATACATGTTGCGAAATGTCTCATCAGACCTTCCTCTTTATTACACTGAACCTCCTTCATTCACATCGAGTCATTCGATTGCACCCGGCAGTCGCGTTGATAATTTTTAACTAATGCGGAACGAAGAAATAAGTCGCAAAATGTTAACCTTTTTATTGCAATGCGATTAAGAACCAAACAGAAGTGAACATGTGAAACCCAAAATAGTAATAAATCCCTAGTTGTATGCCGTAACGGCGCTTCGCTGCCACGCGACCACCACCAGTCGCACACGGGCTGAGTATACCGCGAGGGTGCCCACCCCTACGCGGATTCGAACCGGTGACCTCATGCTTGTAAACCAGACGTACGGACCACTCGGCAATCGGCCGACGGAACCCAAAGTAAAACAAAACGATCAATAAAAACTAACACAATTTAGCAAGTTGCTTCACTTGCTTCTGTGCACTCAACACCGGGTGATACTTCGAGATAACTAAGGTTTTGGTGATAGCCAGTCTTTCTGCGTTCTGGTCACTAGATTGCCGAACTGATGTATTCCATAGATGTGAATTCATTGTTCACCAACGTGCCACGGTGCGAGACAGTTGGCGAGTAATGCCGACTCTTACATGACTAAAACCTGCCTATGGGTCTCCCCTTGGATTATATGAGTGCTAATCCTGTTATGCACACAGAAAGTACGGTTTGGGTTTGAAGGAACCATACAAACAAATCGCTAGGGCCACAGTGGTCAACTCCCTAGGACTAGTTTTGACGGATATTTTTATGAACCAGTTTGGCAAAAATTACCGCAAGCCTCGTCGAAGCGAAGCTGTACATCCTAGCGTTTACTATTGGGGAGTATTTTGAGCGATTGATTGCCCTTATAACTTCCGCACACTTTATCCTCTGTGACCTATGAGATTAAACAGCAGACCGACTTTGGACGTGTTGCTCATTAGGAGGCTGGCGGATGACATACTTCAACACACCGTCTTCGAAAAAGCGACTTGGAGTGGGCAGTATCTGCATTTCGCTAGCTTCGATCCCGTTGCGTACAAATGCGGTTTTGTCTGATGAATTTGCACTACGGACATGCTTATGGCTGAATATGATTCTTTACATAAGGAGATAGTCGAATGGGTACACGGATAGGTTCATGGCCGACCGCCCAAAGAGAAACCAACGGCTCAGATTACTGAGGAGGTTTACTTGTTTCTACCGTTTAGGGATCATTTCGCCAATGACATCAGGCACAATATCAAGTCTGCTCTCTCGCGTACGTACACCACCGCTCGGTTGCGACTGATCCATAGCACGTGAAGACTGGTTCTCAACCACCATCCGAAAGGCCTGTCAGGCAGTCCGGTCTTACATGTAGTCTACCTGAAGTTGCATTGGCGTTTATATTCAGGATTGACTGTAGACTGGGCCTAAGGATGCTACGGCAAGCCTTGACGCAACAAACTGGTGCCTATCCACTGAAGAATCGGAACCCTTCCCCATCTATCGCAATGCATCTCGTGTTGACTCTTTATCATGTGGACCAATCGACCGCATTCAAAGTACTGTTGGGCGACCAGAATCAAAAAATACTGGCTATCGCCGAGACCTCATCTCGAAGTATCTCCCGGTGTCATGTGCACGGAAGCGATCTGTTGGATTGCCTATGTTTTGATTGATCATTTTTTTCTAGTTTGGATTCCATGTGTTCACTCTTGTTTGATCCTTAATTGTCTCGTGTTTACAAAGAAGGAGAGCAATTGAAATGTTAACATTTCGCGACTTATATCTATTTTTCTGCACTTAATAAATGGATGAATGGGACACACTATTTCAGATTGATATGTTTGCCTATCATCTTATGCATTTTTCTTGCCTCATCATTATTTTCCATGATAAGAACTAGTCTTCCAAATGTGGTTACCTGGCTTCTGCATGCGATGTGTGCTCTTGTCGTTCATAAAATCCCCTGTTCATTCAGAGCACCACATTACACGTATTCAACATCTATCCTTAAAATGCGAAGTTGTGCTAAAGTGTTAATCGCAAGTAATGCATTGGGTCATCTTTCGAATCAACACGACTATACACTAAAGCATTGGTGACTGACTGTGGCTGTAGCTACTCTCCACCGTCGTCTTTGGATGAGGAACTCTGTGAACTTCCCATAAATGCTTAGGACGCAATATGAACTATTCGTCCTTCCTACCCCGAACATTTGTTCCATCTCAAAGGATTCGCTCATCCTTCTCATGGTTAAAGCGTTCTTTCTATTCCAGGTTGTTAATGGATGGTTTGGAATGTTTCGATGAATATTCGGACAATGCGCACGAAAAATGTGACAATTTTTTCGGCTGCTATCTTCTCGTTTCGATGAACTCAAAAGTTCGTGGCAATACTTACATAGGTTTCACGGTGAATCCAAATAGACGTATTCGGCAGCATAACGCTGGCCGTTTGAAGGGCGGTGCGAAGTCGACAGCAGGCCGCGGTCCATGGTATGCACCTCCTATTGACCTCGGCTGTTCATTGTGCTTCTCAGGGAGATGGTGCTGATTATACATGGTTTTCCTAACGAGATTTCCGCTTTGCGAGTAAGTGTTCAAATCACATCACTCCCATCTGTTCTAGTTTGAGTGGGCATGGCAAAATCCGAACCTTTCGCGACGCTTGGCCCAGGTCGTTCCCGGTCGATCACATAGAGAAACGCCATTCGATTATCGGTTTCGCGTTCTATCCTACATGCTCCGAATGGGCCCGTGGAACCGTCTGGGCCTTGTTGTACGTTGGTTGAACCAACAGTTTTTTCGGGAGTTCGATTTCGGCTTAGAACCTCCTCTACACATTCCTGTCGTTTTCGGGCCTTTCCTGCCCACTGTGAGCGAGCAACCATGCACCATTCCCCCTAGTTCCTCCAAATGTGGTTTGTGCGGCCTCGACTTTTTTGTAAGTTCACGTCCATCATGTTTTTGTTACCGTACACGCTTGTCTCACACTACCCCCCAACGCAGTTGTTCTCAGATTCAATATATCTGCAGCTAAATTTTTCAGAGTAAGGAGTTTTACCTTTCAGTCTATCTGGATATATTCATTCATGCTTCCTTTTGCACATTATCTGTTTTATTCTACTATATACTGGTAATTTCAGTAGTCCTCCTTAGCCCGATTTATTTTCACCAGCGTGTTCTTACAGCATCAATACTCAATGGCTTGCTGGGGATTAGGGTTATCGAAAACTATAACTTTATGGCTTTCTATCAGACGCTCAGCTCAGATGGCACTATGCACTTTTTATCCGGCTAAGGGACAGGAATCGATCCTGATAAGAGAATTTCTTGCCCATTACCCAAACTAACCTTTTCAGTGTGTTTCTTGCGCCTTTACTTGCACGATGCTCAGCCATTGCTGGCCTCGTTTAATAGTCCCATTAGACTACTCAACAGGTGTCATTATTTATTCCTCACCCACAGTGTTCCGATGAGACCGTGCGTTCCATGCCCGTTGTTTGTCCGTCCCGGTGTTCCAACGGTCAGTGGCACATGTTGTGCATAGCACGTCATCTGCTATCTTCTCAGTTATCTCCCAGCACTTCCACAGATGTTAAACAAGACGATTATCTAATCCCGGTTCGAGGTCCCTGTCCCTCGTGCATTTCAGTTGAACTATTTTGGCCGACTTTGATCGAACAATGGAAACGAAACACTGCAAAGAAATAACCTATTTTTGCATTTTCCATGTGTCCTTCCTTACTTATTTTGTGAATACTGCAAATCGATCGCTCATTTTCCCCCTGGTTCCTAAGCTACCAGTTGTGCGGTGGATACGGCGTGAATGTTTTGCGCGGCATTTGCGACTGTTGGGGTTAGGCTACAATGGACAAAGCATAAAAGGTGTTTCGAGTTTCAACTGTTATCTCTCTGTTATGTGGATGAAGTGGTTCTCTCAAGTATTCTGTCGCATTTGCGTCCGCCATGGTTCACAGTCCATCTGTGCTCCTTGATTTAAACGAATGAAGCAGCTTCACTCAGATCACCAAATGCGTTTACTACTACATCAGGTAACGCAGGTTCGAACAGATTCGCACTCGTTTCTGTCACACTTGCCGGTTATAGATAAGCGAACAATTCCGTTCATCGACTGCGATCCGTGTCTCGAGGGATGGTGGTCATTGTGCCCGACCTACATATTCATACAAATGAAAAGTCTGACAATGAAATGGGGGGAATAGATTGTTTTGTGGAAGTAAACAAAGCACAATTGTCCAATGGAGGAGCTGATAATCGGAAGCGAAGCTGCGATTTCGAGATCGCCATTGAATTCTGATCTGTGTCATATCCGAAAGAGCTTCCGATTGGTGGTCTAGCAGATCCCGAAGACTCCACATAGAGTGAAATGATCCACCAACCCGACCATGTCTTTTGTTGATTGCATCTTCTTCCTTATCATATGGACAACTGCTTACTTCATGTATTGACTGGACAGTATTGGCAAACGATACACGACTAAACAGGCATAAGAAAGATATGTGCTAGTCAGCATATGCGGTTCACCTCCAAATGTCCTCGTGCTGCACCAGTTGTCTTGCTGCTAATCCAAGTGTGATGCGATATTGCTCACTCAGTTCCCTTACTACGTGAAAGTACCTCTTCGCAGACATGAGTGCTCAAGCGCGGCCGTCTTCTTAGTCTTACGACACATTCCGGCCTTAACTCTGATTCCTACATTAACCGTGTCCACGTTGAACTGTCATACGTCCTATTGATGACTAACAAACCACCGTTTCGTAGTTCCCATAAGTGAATTGGAACTTAAGGCGCCACACTAACCTTACGGAGGCGTACAGTAACTCCTCCGCTGACGTGACTGCTAGAAAAAAAGGTGTATGTGGATTGCATCAAATGTGCACTCTTATCACTATGCTTATTTGGACGATTTATAACTTACCATGGCCTTCTCTTCGTAAGATCAAAGAGTGGAATCATCGCTATTTCATTTCCAAAGTTGAACAGCAAAGAGAGATCGAGCATCCATGACGAATCTCAGCTGGCATGGTTGTTGAGGGGTCTTGAATCAGTCATCAATCTTTGGCTGGCTTGCCGAACAAGGCTACCTTACTGAACAAACTCCTCGTAGTGCCAACTGGGTGGTTCGAGTTTTTCCCGTTCCAACAAATGGTTAGGCGGGAGTGTTCCCGGACGTGGTGGGTTTTCGCCTGGCAAGCGTTCTCACTACAAAAAGCCACAAATGTCTGTTTAACAACACTGTGACGTGGCGGATATGACTCGCCAATAAATAAAGTCACTGCCCCTCGTTCCTCCCTGAGAGGCATTGTATTTCAAGGGTGTGTTGGGCCCTTGGTCCTTCATGGAACGAAAGGTCATGTGACGTGGTCACCGGCTCCCAACGGGTTGCGACGCCCTCACTTCGCCCTGCTGCCTTGTACGTTAGATCTTTGATCAAAGGCTCGGGGTAGGGCCCCCTATGAGAAACCTCTACTTCAGCCTGGGCAATCGAGTAGTATCACGCCCACTGACGAATCATGGATCACACTGCTCTGTCTACGCCTATCATCTCTGCTAACTCAACCTCCACTCACAGATCACCCCACCTCCCGTTCTTCACCTATATATACTCTTATGTCTTCTTCGGTCACTGTCACAAACGACCCACGTCTCGCAACTGCTGGAAGTAACATCCAAACTCCAGGTTTTCAATGTCCTGCGATCGCAGCCGCCTCTCACTCCACCGAAGCCCCAGCTCTTCTTCGACTTTGTTCCCATACATCCTCGCAGCGTTCAATATTCGAACTTGGATGCAGATCGGACGACAAGCGTGTCTGGCCCGTTCTCTTGCAACGCTTTTGGTAGACATCTGTTTCCTTTCAGAGACCAGATTACAAGACTAGCGCCTTCATCAGAATGGCCACATCGGTAAACCCTGACGCCAAATACCACTTGCGGCTTTTCTGAGACCCAGAAGCTGCCGCCTTTGGCCATATATATATATATATATATATATATATATATATATATATATAATGCACAAGCTATGGTACAGATATTGTGCCATCGGAATCATGGATGAATATGAAAACAGTATGAATAATAAGAAAAGAACGACAACAACAAATGCCTTTTTTGTCCAGCTTACCACTCACAGTTTTTAAAATATTTTTCAGTGTTTTAGGGGGTGGAATTAGGCACAACGGTGCACACGTCCGCCAATAACATCGATCTTGAGCCATGGCTTCCAGGGTCTTCAACCAGCAAGTATCCGCATCTCTCGGACCCAAACCAGGTGGTCGACAACAACCGGCCGAGGCCAACTGTTTCGTCAGCATTTTCATGCGGCTTCTCCATGTTCTACGCTGTCCACCAGACCATCTTCTCCAACCCTGTCCAGCAACCGCAAACAACGCACGACGGGGGTAACGCTGGACAGGCATGCGCAATGCGTGTCCCAACCAACGCAGTTGATGCAGCGAGACGCGCTCCTCGAGCTAGTAGCTTCCACGTCCCAAGATGCGCTGTCTAACTTCCACATTGCTTACGTGGTGCCGCCACCACACACGGGCAATGGACTGCAGACAGCGGTGCTCGAAGGCGGATAGCGTGCGCAAGTCATCTTTACGAATGGGCCAGGTCTCGCATCCGTACAACAATACAGCATGAACAGTTGCACAATAGACCCGCCCTTTGATGGAGAGACGAATGTCGTGGCGACGCCACAATTGCCTCAGGCTAAAAAAAGCAAGGCGTGCTCTCGAGATGCGTGTCGCAATCTCGTCTCTAACGGTCCCGCCAGCAGTGATGCAGCTTCCCAAGTAGACAAAGCTATCCGCAACCTCTAGTGTCTCACCACTAAGAATGGTGCTGGCAGAGGCACCTGCCAGTCTTGAAAGACAGCCTTGCATTTGGATAGGGAAAGGTACATACTATACTTTGATGCTTCATTCGCCAAGCGGTTTAGTGCAAATTGGACGACTTGTGGTTCGTCACGCGGCATGATGTTATCATCAGGATAGTCCAAATCATTAACTTGACTACCTGGGAGGAGCTCAACGCCAGCGTTCAACGAATCGCCTAGAGAGTTCTTCAAGACATCATCAGTGGCAATGTTGAATAACAACGAAGAGATATGGCATCCTTGTCGAACTCCACTGGAGACCACAAAGGAAGGCGTGAGCTTGCCATAAGCCGTTACTCTGCAAAAAGTCAGGCTATAGAGAGCGCGCAGTATGGAGTCTAACTTATCGCGGACACCATTCCTCAATAGGCAGTGCCACAGTACCGTGCAAGCGAAAGAGTCGAAGACCGCATGGATAGCTAAGAACATAGGAATCTCACCTGTTGATCGCTTTCCGAGCTTGATAAAAGGATTGCATACGTTTCACCACTATGCGAGGTGGCATCTTCAGTGCGGTGATATGCAGTGTATGATTCTGCAGGATTATACACTGCATATAACCGCACTGAACATTCCACCTCGCATAGTGGTGAAATGTTGGCCTCTGATACACATGGCGGAGCTCGAGGATCTGGCGGAGTGTGAAGATTTGATCGATGCAGCCGCGACCATGGCCAAACCCAGCTTGTTCTTCTCGCTGCAACGGTTTGCACATTTGGGGATAGCCTGCGAAGTATGATAGACAACAGCAGTTTGCAAACCACAGGGACTAAGCTTATGCCTCTGTAGTTGGAACAGATTGTGCGCAAGCCCTTTTTGAAGATGGGTACGACTATCGATTCACCCCAAGATGACGGAACTTTCTCTTTCGACTAAATTTTCGGGAAAAAAGCGGTGAGTTCTCGAACCAGCGAGGCACCACCATCTTTAAATAGAGCTGGAGGAAGACCATCAGGGCCGGGGCTTTATAACGCTTCATGTGGCGGAGCTCCTGCTCGAGTTCCTGGTAAGAGGGAGGATCTGTGGGGGTAGACTACTCGGCACCACTGCGAGCGCCGGATGGAGCTGTGGGCAACAAAACTGCGAGCCAAAATGTTCGGCGCATCGCTCCAACCGTCGTTGAAGATTGGTGATTAAGGTGCCATCCTCTTCGCATATTGTTTCACTTATATCAGATCGAACACCTTCGGTGACTCGAATGAGATGGAAAAGTTTTCTGGTATTACCGGAGTGACTAGCAAGCTCCATCTCCGTAGCACGTTCACACCACGAAGCTTCGCGGTCCATTTTCAGACTCTTGCGCAACTCTCGACCAAGGAATTGGCGTTCGTCACTGTGTCTGGAATCCGACGTGATCAAGCGGCGTTTGTCCATTAGCAATAAAAAGACGCCTGAAATCCAATGCTTCGATGAGTAGTGGGCAACCTGCAAATGTCGATACTGATAGAAACTAAGGCATCTTTGATCTGCGCCCACTGCGAATCGAGATCACCGTCAATAGTTGAGCCAAGCAAGATTGACAGTGAGGCTTGGTACCTCTTTAAAATCGCAGTGTTTTGTAGATTTGCGACGTTCGGTCGGTAGTGAGCGCGTTTCGGTAATCCTCCGAAACGCATGCAAATCTTAGCACGAACCAATGCGTGATCGGAGTCTAGATAAGTTGACCAGTACGATCGGCAGTCCGTTACGCTTCCGCGCCATCTGTAGCTGATTGCTATGTGGTCAAGCTGGGAGCACTCTTGCGTTTGTGAGGGCGGGCGCCAGGTAGCAGTGTGTCTCCTCGAATGCCGAAAACTAGTACTCGAAGGAAACAAGCGATGATCAGAGCAAAGAGCAAGTAGTCTGTCTCCATTGTCTGATCGACTGCCACCGAGACCAAAACT